TTTCATTTTATGACCATAAAACTCCTAAGAGGCACTTTTTTTTTTTTCTTCTGAGATCAGGTCTCATGTACCTGAGGCTGGCATCAACTATGGCCTTGAACTCCTGATGCCCCACATCCATCTCTCACGTCCTGGGATTACAGGTGTGTGCCACCATGTTCTGTAAATGTGGTGTTGGTGACCAAGCCCAAAGCTTTGTGAAATCTAGGAGGGTACTCTACCAACGGAGTTCCGGCTAATCTCCAGCCTGAGACACTTACTACTGTCCCCATTTTACACAGAAGTACACTGATAGAGCACAAAACAGCTGGAACAAGCTGACACACACTTGCTGGAGCCACCTCCTGAAGAGTTACCGCGGGCACTCCTGTGTCTGTGTGGCTGCCCTGCTAGCACCAAGAACTGCGGAGCTCACCGGGTCAGAAGGGCACCTCCCCAGATGCTGATGTAATGCAACACTGCTGTGAACTGGTTTCACCACCAGAGCCACAAGCAGGCCAGGAGGGAGGTCATCCCCAAGGACACAAAATCCATATAATGTGTGCTCCATCCGGGTGAGTCCACCTGGCCAGGGACTCCCTAGGTGTTCTCAGAAGCCACCCTGGAAACCCCTAGCTGTCATTCCTCTTTGGGAAAACACCGTCCTAACTCTTGCATAAGGAAGTGAGGTGCTGAGTGGGGCAGAGTAACTTGAGAAGTGAGGGACCAGGGCTGGGACCCAGAAGCTGCAGCTCAAGTCTAACCACTCCCTGGTGCACACACGAAGTCACACTCACACACACACACACACACACACACACACACACACACACACACACACACGCACGCACGCACGCACGCACGCACACATCATGCATGCACAACACAGCATACAAACACCACATCATATACACACAACACACACACCTCACACACATAACCACACACACTATATCACATACACACATCATAAATGGACAACACATCATACACATATATATGGACACACATACATACACTACATACATTCATACCTCACACGCACATATATCACACATACACCACACATTACACCACATACACACTACACCGCATGCCCACACACATCACACCGCTGTGGAATAATCTACTTGTACACTGTAAAGATTTTTCACTGGAACTGATTTAATGTAACACTGGCTGATCAGTAGCCAGGCAGGAAGTATAGCCAGGAAGACCAAACTAAGGTTGATGAGAAGGAGAAGGGCAGAGTCTGAGGACATGCTAGCCAGACGCCCAGGAAGCTAAAGGACAGGTAAAGCCGTGAGCCATGCGGCAATACATAGATTAATAGAAATGGGATCATTTAAGTTGGAAGACACAGCAACAAGCCTGAGCTATCGGCTGAGTATTTATAGTTAATATAAGCTTCCGTGGGGTGATTTGGGAAGCAGCTCCTGGGTATTTGGGGACAGGTGGGTGGGAGAGAAAACTCGGCTTACATACACAAATGCACATACATCACACCCGCACACATATACCACATGTACACAACATATCATGCATACACACATAGACACATCACACATTCACACACACGCCCGTCTCTCTCTCTCTCACACACACGCACAGAGTGACAAAGACTGCTTATCTTTGCCTGATGATAGATTCCTTTTCTTCTCTAGCAATGAGAACCCATTATTTACAGCTGGGCATTGTCCACTCAGATAAAGACCTCATTTCCCAGCTTGCTTTTGAGCTGGCTGTGGCCATGTGATCTATACTCTGTTGAATGCTGGAATATGTGGTGACGATTCAGCAATTTCCAGGCAGGCTCAGCTGGACAATGTATCTGCTCCTTGTGCCACGGGCTGAGGTCACTCAGTGGCATTTGTCGAGGGCATGGAGGCTGTAAAGTAGCCTCACTCACATGTCTGGCATCTCTGCCAGAACAGTTGACAAAATCTACTGATCGTGTGAACTGGAAAGCACAGGTGGCCTCTCCAGCATGATGGCCAAGAAGAGACAGCCTTCTTACCAGATTCTCGGGACTCTGAAAGGAACTGCTCTAGTGACAGAGACCCCTGAGCCCATTTGCATCTGAGCTTCAGAAGTCACTTGGTACCACTTCTGCCTACTCTGATTGACATACTCTACTGGTCAAGGTTGGACCAAGCACCCCATCCACTCAAAAAGGGGACTGTGCGGCAAGTGCTTTACCCACTGAGCCACCTCTTTAATCCATGACTTTGTTTTGGTTTTAAGATTTATTTATTTTTATTTGATGAGTATGGATCTTTTGGGCTGGAGAGATGGCTCAATGGCTAAGAGCACTTGCTGCTCTTACAGAAGTCTCAGGTTCCCTTTCTAGCACCCACGTGGAGGCTCACAATCAGTTGTAACTCCAGTCCCAAGGGATCCAACATCCTTTTATAACTGAGGAGGGTACCAGGCACACACATGGTGTACATATATACATGCAGACAAAACACTCATACACAGCTGGGCGTTGGTGGCACACGCCTTTGATCCCAGCACTCGAGACGAAGAGGCAGGCAGATTTCTGTGAGTTTGAGGCCAGCCTGGTCTACAGAGAGTGTGCCAGGATAGGCTCCAAAGCTACACAGAGAAACCCTGTCTCCAAAAAAACAAAAAACAAAACAAAATAAAAACACTCATGCACATAAAATAAAAATAAAGGTTAAGGGCTA